CTATCAACCACCCTTCTCCGCATCCGCGATCGAATGAACGTATTCGTCAGTTAATAAGTCTTCAATATAACGATGTTTGCCACCAATCAAGCAGTTGTGGTGGCTGTAAATACCGTCGAGTGTGCGATTTTGACGCGGCTATTATTGAATCGTGAGCACGACAAGATACATTAGATCCTTCTCTGGGTTGAGAGACACTATCAACTATAGTTATTGTTTCATTACTTATTTCATTACATGTTCAGTACCATGAGTTGGATTTTGTGTTCATGTTTATTATATAGGTATAGACTAAAAAAACTAAATTATAGAGGCATTAATGCCGTGTTTTTTGGCTCATACATGGTAGTTGCATCACCACCAGGCGCCCCTTGAATAGGTGGCGCTTGTGTCTGACCTTTTCGTGTGCGGAAGGGGTTGAAGCCAGTTACCGGTAACTCAGTGTTATCCACAATCACATCTGCCAGCGTTCGCACACCATTTAATAAAGCTTCTTTCTCCTCTCGTAACGCGGTACTGCAAGTCAAGTCCTCGGCCAGGCGCTTAGTGTACCACAGGCAGTCCCCGCGCTGTAGGCGTGAGAATTGCAACTCCAATCCCGCCAGAAGCGTGGACCCTACGCTACTGCCAGTTACATGATCCTCTGCGAGCATGCCCACGAAGAGGTCAACTTTGGCCATACCAGCTCTTCCATTACCATAGACTTTCTTGAGTGCCCTCCTTATTGCACCTTTACTCGAAATTTGGCTCCATTTTGTGACTTTGAAACCGGTAAGAGCTTCACGCACCTGTATGTAGTTACCAACACCCAAATCACGTCCACGTTGGATGTTTAACGCTACCAAATCGAAAGCGTCCGTGTAAATGTCATTGACTAGAACAGTATCGGGATTCTTACGGAACAAATGCTCACGTAGCGAGGGTACAATTTGCGTGTCGATACGTTGATTAGGTTGGAGTAGCAAGCCAGTCAATAAAGGATCGATATCCATCTCTGTTTGCAAGAAGACGTTCACGGAATCGAAAAATGCTGGACGATGATTCTCTGTCCACTCGCCCGAAAGTTTTAGATGACCTTTCCTATGTGCTTTAAAGCCAGAGAATTCGACCTTGTCATCGGTACCACCGCCACCATCACCACCTTCCTGCTCCACCAGAATGGGTTTCACTGCCTCATCTTTAAGGACAGTTTCAAGATCTCGCCTGCGTGCATCCCCTGTCATAACTTTCCATCTCCTGGGTTTAACCTGGAACCTCCAAAACAACTCGTTGACCATTGTGTGTCCAAATCTGAATAGCGCTCCAGAAAAGATTGTCAAAATGCTAGGATCCACATCGCCACAGTTGGTAGTTGTATCAGACATCATCTTCCGGCCAGTAATAGCGGGTAGCCAATCTTCATATGTGATTTTCTGCATTTCTGATTCAACGACCACGCGTGCTTCCTCGAATACTTGATTCAATTCATTTTCTGCCAGATCGGCATCATCACGTCCAGGAAACAAATCTTCCTTTGCCAACTTGGCAAGGCGATTATGTTCCCTTGCAAATAAAGTATGTAAGGCTGTAAGGCCAGGCTGCTCCATAGTTCGCACATCACCGGAATAGAATACCTCCGATCCACCTTCAATTCTTGTAGGTAGTAAGTGGTAGGGCCCCAGGTCGTAATCGTAAAAGATACCTTCGGTCATCTTAAGGAGATAATGACTCAAACCAGTGCTTGTGACCGCTCTCAAATCAAGCTGTTTGGCTATATCTGAACCATAAATATTCGAAGCATCGATGTAGTGAGAGATTGCATTCCTGTTAGTATCGTCCATGCCTGCAGCACGAGTAAATTTCATGATCTTGCCATTGAATATTGGATCTTCGGCATCGCATTGAATATTGCTTGCATATGCATCCCCGTCCCCAGCATGTGTCTCTGTAATATCATGATCTACGAATTGACCCCATTGCATGACCATATGATTGAGATGATTCTTATCATACCTATTCCTCGTCTGTTGAAAAATTTCTTGACTAATGTTACGTGGCGATGGTTTATCATCCATGCTTGACAGATCTGTATTAAGTGGTGGTCTCATGTGCTGTGCGACAGGGTGAAACGGACTTTCAGTTTGTCCGCGTGTATCTGCGTCATGGGCATTGCCACCGGCATTTGCTTGCCGGAATTTAGCCATAGGACACTGTGCCGCAGTATATCCAAAGCATAATGCCAGTGCTACGAGGTATAGTATACGTTTAGATAACATGATTAGACCGTACAGATTCTAAGATTATATATGCACTACTATCATTCCTAACCACTATTACAACTTGCCTTGAAGAAACAAATTTTCTTTCGTGTACAAGCGTAGTTGTGTTGTGGAGCCCGATCATTTTAAAAGTCGGTTTTTATACGTCATGGTAGTTGTTTGGATTAGACTAGAGGGAGAGATTTCTGATTTTTCAAGACCCCTCAGTCCCTCACCAGTCTCACCACAACGATCCTCTGCGGAGAATTCATAGCCTTCTAATGTTTCAATTTATTTAGAAGGCTATGGATAATTGTTCGTTTTTTCCGGACAACACGCAAAAGATAAAAAGAAAGCGAAAAGTTGTCGACCTGTGAATAAAAAAATACAGAATTGTATTGACATGTTTTTTTATTTAAGAAAACAAAGCATTTTTATTTTTATTTTCTATCAGTTTCCACTCTACCAGTGAGTGATTTTAGCAGTGAGTCCAGTCCAGTCCTCCAATCAATACAGAAAAAAAATTAAAAATATGAAATTCTGGGAAATATAAAGGAAACCAATTACAATTGTTGTTCCCTTTTTTTAAAACAAAAAACAAAAACAATTGTAGTTGTTTTTTTAAAAAAGATAAAAATATAAAGCCAATTTGATTTTGTGTCTTCAGTTCAATTTTAAAACGTTACAACGGTCTTAATGTGATCAGAAGGGTCTACCTGAGTTCTTTTATAGGACTGATTCGAATTGTAAATATGGTACACACTGAAATACTTAGACCCGTAAGTTGTACCTATGAGCATACAAAGGACCGCAAATGAAATAAAAGTTGAACGGAAACGTATATTTTTTCCATTTATAAAAGTTTTAACGGAAAACGGTTTGAGGTTAGGCCCAGTCGCCGCGGCAGCCGGCAAAGTGCCCACTCTGCTGCCCACACAAGTACTCTTTAGGTATATGTAATTCGCTTACTCTGAGCCCTGAGGTTTTAGCGGGATTTTAAAATCCCCGAAAATTGAATATACTAAAATACATAGTACTCACTACTAGTAATTTAAATATATATATATATATATATTTATATATTAACTAAATACGTAGTGACGACTGTACATATTCACTGTTTTGTATTTAAAAAATCCCCGTCTCTTCATCTTGTACATACGGAATTGCGAAAGGACGTGGACTCTGTCGTGGAGTCGTGGACAGCGAACTATACAATTTATTTACTGAACTTTAAAAAAAAAACTAGTAGTATGTAAAGATATTTTTTTACAAAATGAATATATTTGCCATAAACAACAAACCTATATTGTCGTTTACCACCAGACCAGAAAGCCAAAAAAATTGCAAGACACTCTCAACTCTCAAGTGTGGAGTCTAAATACTAAATACTAGGACTCATTGAGAGAAAATAGAACTTTTAAAAAAGTACATTTTTGTTTATTTTAAAAAAACAGTAAATATATTTTTCAAATATCCTTAAAATATAGTGATTCTTTTTTATAAGTTATTGTTATTTTAAAAAAAAAGGATTCAAAATAGACAATGCGATTTTGAAAAATATCGGATCAGTGTATTTTTAAAATATTGTATCAGTGAAAACTGAAAAGTGATAACAGATACAGGGAGTCTGATATGTAGTCATATTATTTACTTACGAGAGAGACCGATTAGCGACACTCCGAGCGTATCTCTTGCAGAAAAAAATAACAAATGTATTTTTATTAGTATTTTACGGATGTATGTCGAGTCTGAAGCAGTGAAGCTAGACTGCTCTACTACTAGTAGAGAGAGAGGTTCAACTCCGTTCAAGTAAAATGTAAATAGTAAATACCGAGTATTTACTATTTACAAAGTATGTAGTGAGTAATATAATACGGTTAAAAAAAAAGACAAGTGGGTACTAGGCAAATAGTACTGAATAGTGAGTACCGACTACAGCTGCAGCAAAATACATATTAAGACCGTGTTAAAATAGTGGGCTGTAGTTAAAAAATAGTATCTGACTGATCAGTGATCAGTGTTAGTGTGTGATTACGCTGTCTCTCTCTACTAAAAACTCTCTAAAGTAGAGAGTAGAGACTAGATTGTCTAATAGAATTTTTGAGAGTCAATAAAAAATATATAGTATTTACTATCTGCCATCAGTCTAAATATATAACTCAATCTCAATCTGCCATGCCAGAATATCAATCAGTGACTCAGAGTCTCAGTGACTCTTGAGTCTTCTGAGAGAATTAGTTTTGTTGTTTGATGTAGAAGGCTATGGTTTTGTTGGTTTATAAAAAAAAAGAAGAAAAAGAACACAATCAGAACATATTTAGCCTACAGAACAATAACAACAGATTGAAAAAAAAATGTGAACTGGTGACTGGGGCCACTGGGACCGTGGACCTTGGGCTTGGTCGGTCGTGCCGTTATTGGTGACTGGTCAATACTCGGTAGCGAGTACACTGTGAGGAGTCACTGGTGGGAGTGGTAGCTGGTGCCATACAGCCTTGGGGCTTGGGCCCGTGGCACCATTCCACATTGTCTGTTCCCCAGGTAACCACGTTCCTCATTTGTGATTTGAGTCATTCCCCTGCTGTGTTTCAGTGTTTCGCTTTTAGAGTGATGAGTGTTCTCAGTTCTCAGTTCTCAGCTCTCAGTTCTGCGAATCTGCTCTAAAGTGAGTCAAGTCTAAAAGTCACAAGTTGGCAGTTGCTCAACTCTCAAGAAGTCACTTTTAAGACCCGAGTGTTTTTAGAAAAAGGAGTATTTTTT